CCTGTCTATCTCTCCATTTGATATTCAACAACTGTCGTTGGCATTTCTATGCAGACCATCTATAACAGTAGTGCGTCCAGCTGGCGCTTAAAATAAACAGACACCTTCAACCGTCTCGGCAGCCGCCAGACTTTGTACCTTCATCGTTCTCACGATGATACTAATCCAAAATTGGAAACCATATCTTTGCAATAACATCGGATTGCTGCAAGTTGAGAAAAAGCTGAACACTCGAAAGTAGTCCAGTCCGTTTCCAGATGATTCGTCGAAAGCGCGCACTATCAAATGTACTTACATGAAAAGGGCCGACTGAGGTGAACAAAGAGGAGGGTGGGAGACAATCCCAAAGTCTCCGTGAAATTTAGCCACCTGACTTTTGTAGTAGTGACGAAAATTATACAGGCTGGGTCGTCGCCCGAATTTCCAAGGACCTTGCAGGCTATTGGGGGACTGAGATCGACTGCGAAAAGTCTTGGATCAGAACTTGCTCATCGCCCTCTGTCAGCCGGGACGTAGCAGCATAACAACGGATGCCGAACATACCAGTCAGCAACGGAGTCGCTACCCGTTCTGAACGGAGGAGGCAGACAGCACGATACCATTAAAGCACGCCAGAGAAACCTCCATGGGAACGAAACCGCCAGTGGCAGCTTACAGTCGGAAATTGGAATATATCCTCACTCAGAGGGAAAGAACAAGAGGTAGTTGATAAGGCCAATAGGTACCAACCCGACATAGTCGGACTCTTGTCAACAAAGCGGGACGGCTCTGGAATCCGGAACAGTTCTGGTGGAAGCTGTCCTATTCAGGCATCGATATAGCGACAAGCCCTCAGGCCGGTGTTGGTGTTCAGCTAGAACCCAACTCGCCGATAGAATATCATTGATTGAAGGACTGTCACTGAAAGGGTTGCAATCAGAAGCTACAACAGGCTAAAGGTACAGGTCTATGCGCCCAATTTGGAAGGAGAATATGAGACCTTCCTTGAGGAAGTGCAGTGTGCTTTG